CAGACGCGCGAGACGCGTCGTCGTTTCTCAGTTCCTGCGAACGATTTTCCCCGCTTTTCGCCATCTATGCCACCGTCGCTTCGTCGCACCGTCCTTCGCAGGATTCAGTCTCGCGGTTTCTTCGAACGTTCTCGCCACTCGTTCGCGTTTTTCGTTCGGGCTCGACCGGTTCGATCGTTCGCGTCGCGTTTCGCGTTGACGCAAATGTTTACGACTCGGTTTCTCCCCCTTTCGATCTTCCTTCTCTTCGTCCGATCGCTTTGTCTTGCAGGATGAAACACGTCGGGTGGTCGGATTCGTGAGTCACTTAAGCGTCCGAACGAGACGACAGGGCCGAACCGAAGACGGAGCACCGACCTACCGTAGTCTACCTGACTGATTGACCGATGAGCCGACTGTTATCCTAAGTCAACACTCACTCCATCAGCCTGTCGAATCGCTTCCTTCCATCGCCGAGTTCCACCGCCACGTTCCCTTCTCGTTCTCCAGCGATTCGAACGGGCCTCGTCTCCTTTCGCTCTCGCGGTTCCAACGGCGCATAAAAAATGCGCTGGCCGTTTTGTTCCCGCGAGGCCAGCTACCGATTAAGACGTTCGATCGATCGATCGTGACACACGAGTCTCCGCGAAGGTGAGACTTTTTACCGGCGTCAATCGCGTGCGTCTAACTACTCTGATTGCTTTTGATTAGTCGTAATTTTCCATCCGTGCAAAAAGCTTTTGTTTATCACTGGATCGTAGATCTTTGCGCGTTCGCGGAAAATGTATGCAAAGTTATGTAGGTGAAAAAACGTACGTTAAATATGCAGATATGTTAAATCTGTTAAATACGTATATAAAAAGAATAAAAAGTAGAAAAAGAATACCAAAAACAAAGTGTCATATCTTATAAATCAAACAGATTCTCCCTTCTCTCTTAGTTGTTTCATGTCTAAAGTCTACTTAGCGCCTAGACGTCGTTCAGAAGTCAAATCGATCGACTCCCAGCGATTAACATACGATTTTCAAGAAATAAATAACTCCCGTTCGTAAATTTATTCGTCGTCAAATGATGATATAAGCGCCGATCAATTCCAAGCCCGATTTACGAACTAATGTTTTTGCAACATCGTCGCGTATTTCAATCTTTTGGTTTTACGAAATTAATCAAAGCGATTAATTTTAAAGCTAATGATTTTAACGTTTACGCTCGTATATTTTTCTACGAGAAACCCTCACATTGTATGCATTTCGTTCCTCGGAACGATCAAATGTCACTCTTACGAGCGAATACATTTTGTTCGCGATAGATCGACATAGATCATCAAAGGCAACAGGGAGGCAGCTCCACTTTCCAGTAATACGAATAATCCAATAAAAACCAATGAAAAATCAATCAAAATCAAATGGTTTTTTAAAGCGTCCTACGAGTTTATATCGAACATCAAATGCATACTTTTCTTTCTTTTCCAATAAATACAATTGCAATATTGCAATCTTAATTTTCTCAAGGACCGTTCAGACGATCGATGTCG